GCCCGGGCTGGGGATTCGAACCCGCCACCTTAGGTGTATGTGGCTGGCGCCTCAGCCACTTGAGCCACAGGCGCCGAGCCTGTCTCACTTTTAATGTGAGAAGAGTCATCCCTTCTCTTCTGATCATTTAGGGAAAATGATCGGAAGAATAGCTGAGAAAAAAAGGAAGAGTGTTTGGCCATGCTCAGAGGGTGAAAGAGCTCTAAGAACCTACTGGCTTTAGGATTGCAGGTAAGAAAACAAAGATGTGGGGAGTGATTAAGCTCTGTCCATACTGGTTGCCATCTATCACTGTTTTTTTTTTTTTTGAGATATAATATATATATTCAGAAAAAAATGCATTCAACATACAGACTGACAAACTGATTGCCATTTTAATTCTAGAATTCTAATAATTCTAAGACCCAGGAAGAAGAGCAAGATGTGGTGAGACGGGCACAGATGTGGCTCAGAGAAGAGGTAGAGGTTTCCCTCAGCACAGGTCCATATGCTGCATGTGTTTAGGAAGGCCTGAAACTCCAAAGTGGCAAGATGTTCCTTAACAGAGAAGGGTTTAAAAGAATCCTACTTTGGCCAGGAGCAGTGGCTCAGGCCTGTAATACTAGCACAGCACTCTAGGAGGCTGAGGAGGGTAGATTGCTTAAACTCAGAATTTGGAGACCAGCCTAAGCAACAGCCTTTCCAGATTGTAGTTACTCAACTAGAATGTGGACTGAGAGTGGGCAAATAGCCTAGTCCAGCTTAAGTTGCAATGTCTGGCCTCTTCCTTCTACAGCTCCTCAGAGGACCCAAGAGTCTTGAAAGGACCCCAGGCAACAGCAAGAACAATAACAAAACCCCTGGTGGCAATGGTTTTCCCCACAATATCAACTGTGAGTTATATAGGTACCTTTAGCTACCACCACGGGTTGTCTTCTTCCTTATTTGAAATGCAAATGGTGCTCTCAATGCCTGAAACCCAGTCCCAGCTAAATCTTTACTCACACACCGTGACTAAACTTCCTGACTGCCACTGAAACCACAACTTCCAGTGTGAATCTGCCCCAGTGAATATTAAGCCAATGGGGGAAATGAAATGAACTTTTTAGGTACTTGCTAAGGGGGACTGTGTGTGCATATGGAAAGGTCTCTCTGCTAATGGGAGGGAATGATAACAAAATCAACAGAAGAATGGCTTTAGAATTGTCCAATCTGGTTTGGAAATATTCCAGTCCTTAACTAACAATGACTAGAAATTTCTGTTTGGGAGTTCAAGACACTTGAAACACTCTAACAGGATAAAGACTTGACTGAGAAGCAACTGGAAAGCTGTTTAAGGTCCCAGTTCTGCTCCATGGGATGAAAC